CACCGAGCTGCTCCCCATCGAGCTGGACGAGATGGTGGGCAAGGGGCAGTTTGCAGAGGTGTGGAGGGCCAAGCTGAGCCACAGCCGCTCGGGGCAGTACGAGACGGTGGCTGTGAAGATCTTCCCCTGCGAGGAGTACTCCTCCTGGAAGAACGAGAGCCAGATCTTCACCGACGCCAGCCTCAAGCACGACAGCGTCCTGCGGTTCCTCACCGCCGAGGACCGGGGCACGGGGCCGCGCCGGGAGTACTGGCTCATCACCGCCTACCACAGCCGGGGCAACCTCAAGGACTACCTCTCCCGCCACGTCCTGAGCTGGATGGACCTGCAGAAGATGGCGGGCTCCCTGGTGAGCGGGGTGGCCCACCTCCACAGCGACTACACCGCCTGCGGCAGGCCCAAAATCCCCATCGCCCACCGGGACATCAAAAGCACCAACGTCCTGGTGAAGAGCGAGCAGGAGTGCGTGCTCTGCGACTTCGGCATCGCCATACGCCTCGACCCTGCCCTGACGGCGGACGACTTTGCCAACAGCGGGCAGGTGAGTATGACCCCCCCAGTCCTCCCTGGGGGGGACCCTTTGCAAACTGCCCACCGTCACCCCGCGGCCAAAGTCCTCGCCCACTCCTGCTAATGCCTCTCTCCTCTTTGCGGGCAGGTGGGCACCGCCAGGTACATGGCCCCGGAGGTCTTGGAGTCCAGGGTGAACCTGGAAGACCTGGAGTCTTTCAAGCAGATGGATGTCTACTCCATGGCTCTCGTTTTGTGGGAAATGGCCTCCAGATGTGAAGTGGTAGGAGGTAGGAGCAATGCACCGCGGGTTGCCACGTGCCTTTTTGCTCCCTTCCTCCCTGTACAATGACGTGGCTCACTCCCACGTCCCCAGCCGTGGCACAGGACCGGATTTGGGGTGGCTCAGGTCTCTGCAGGGCTGCAAAGAGCTGCCTGCCCTGTGTGCTGCAGCTCCAGGGGCCTGGGACAGTGGCAGAGAAGCAGGACGGGACCCCAGAGGGTCATCTGGTCCAGCCCTCGCCCAAAGCCGGCCAGCCGCCAAGGCACATCCGCGTCAGTGCTGGCGATGCAAAGCAAACCGCGCGGGAAGAGCCGAAGATGCCTCCCCCCCTCCCCGGCCACAAGCCGCTTTTTTCCAGACAACACCAGAGTTTACATTGCAACAGGGACTTGCAATCTCCAGCCTCCAACACAGCCACGTCCCTCCTCACGTCCCAGAGCCACATTCTGGCATCTGGAATCGTGTGTAGCAAAACATTTAATTAACTGCCCTGCTGTTAGCCCCTGCCTGCTCCCTCTTCCCTTCTCTCTCTCTCCAGTTCCTTCCCTATCCCACCTACTTGCAATACAAGCCCACGAAGCTCCAACCCTCGCCAAGAAAGCTGTCTCAACTGCCAGGTACACCCCATGCTCGGTGGGGGGAGACCCTCACCTGGCTCGGATGCTCTGTGCATTCTTTGCTCCCGAGCCAACATCCCAGGCCGTCCCTCCCCACCCGTTTCACCTGCATTCTCATCTAGGCAGGTGCTGGCAGAAACCAGGGTGGTCTCTCACCTCTGCAACAGGGAGTTTCTCCCAGGAGATGGGGTTGCTCTTCTGGAAGGGCCATTTCTCCTCTAACCCGATCTGTACCCGCAGCAGGAGTCTGGATGCTGGTACTGTAGCTGCCTCTCCCATCTTTCACCAGCACAACACGTTTTGCTCAAAACATGTCCCACCCGAAGACAGACCCGGTCCTTTGTAGTGCATCTCTTGGGTTCAGGAAGGTCATCAGATGGTTCCTTGTTCCCATCTCCGAAAAAACCTCTAAATGAAAACCCAGCACTTCGTTTCTATGTTCAAATTCTAAATTGTTTCCAGATCTGTTTACTTTTGCAGAGCGATAAAAACCAAACCTATTCTCATCTGGTGGACCGTACTGAAGCACAGCAGTGAATGCATTAAAGGCATCCTGTAACGCTGCTGTTGCTTCCTTGCAGAGGTAAAGAATTACGAGCTACCTTTTGGGTCAAAAGTCCAGGAGCAGCCCTGCGTGGACACCATGAGGGACATCGTGCTGCATGGCAGAGGGCGGCCCGAGATCCCGAGCAGCTGGCTGCTGCATCAGGTAAGCTGGGAGCAGCCGGTTCACAGAAGAGCAACACACATTGTCCCACCTCACTAAACCAGCCTGGAAAATGATTAAAGCTGTAATCAAAGCAAAAGTGGGCCCTACTTGCAGCTCCATTTTGGCTGGCTGAGCCCATTAGACTCATCTCCCCATTGCATAAAAGCCACCAACCCAGGGGTAGAGCAATATTTATCGATAAACAGCCATGATCAGGAAACGTTACGAACACCAAGTGGGGGCATCCAGTTATCCTGAGGATAACAGCAAGATGGAGCACTTCAGTGCAGGCTCTTCTCCTGAAACGGTAAATCATCTGAGCCCATCCCACCTCTCCCCTAACCACCATCCGGAAAGTTCTAGCTCAGAAAACAGTCCCTCGCACACATGGCAGGGACAGAGGCAGGAAAGGTGAATCCAGCCTTCTGCCTGCTTGGCTGTTGAGGTTTCAAGCTCAAAATTAACTCTAAAATGAGAGGTCAGGACCTGGCATGTGAGAAGAAAGACTTCCACAAGTAAAGGAAGGCTGGATGAGGCTTTGAGCAGCCTGACCTAGAGGAGGGTATCCCTGCCCATGGATGGGTTTGGAACTGGATGGTCTTTAAGGTCCCTTCCAACCTCAACCTTTCCATGAGTTTGTGAAAGGCAAACCAGGAAGCATCTCCCCTGAGTGAAACAACCAGAAAACATGTGTGAAGCTGAGCAGGGAACTGCTCAAGTTCCCTACTGCTAGGCTCAAGTCTTGCCAAGGGGAAGCCTTTCACCAGCCTTTAGCTCAGAAGGTCTGAAAGGGAAGCGTTTCGGCGCAGGAAGCATAACCCAGTGCTCTAGAATAGAAACACTTCAGCAGCGATGAGATGTGCTCAGTTAAAAGCATCCACAAGCACACCCAGACCAACCAGCTCCAGAAGCACACCTACCTCCCTGCCCTGACAGGGTCCTCCCTCCCCTAGGTCCAGTACTCCCACTCGCTGAGGACAAGGCCATGTGTTCCCTACAATATCTGCTCTCAAAACCTTGTTTGTCCAAAGACTGATGGACCAAAGCTGCCAACAGCATCACGCGAATCTGTGGTTTCGGCTGGACCATCAGTGGGTTTGTCAGCCGCCGAGTCCCCTTCTGACGTTCTCTCAGCCTTTTCCCTTGACGAAGGCAAATACAGGAACTTCAATCAGCACCGTTACATATTTGAAGCCTTTGAGTATTCATCTCGGACATTCACCTCCCAGAGCCTCTGATAAACTCTGAAACCACAGGAAAAAAACACAGAGGCTTGGGCTGTCAAAAAATCACACCCCGACCGAGCCTGACCACCGCTGCCCTGCTTGCGGAGCTGAGGAAGGGCTGACTGCAGTCGCCCCCGAGAAGTAACGCTGCTGCCGCGGGGTTGGTCCAGCACGCAGACAGAGCCAGGCTTGTGAGGTAGAACTTTTATTAGACCACCTGATGCTCACTGGGGAAGAGGAACAGAAAAGCCACGTTGTGTTCCTGAAAGTTTGCCTCCGACTAATCTCAGCCGATCTAATAAACATCCCCTTCCAGGCCTGGCTTTACGTGATTTTTCCGGGCATTTTGAACCGGTCTCCAGGATGAGGCACAAGGCAGCAACATCCGGTGGGAAGCGGCAGAAAGCCACCGTTGCGTGACACTCCCGGGGCCACCAGCTTCCTGCGGGAGGGAGCGCTGGGTGACACCAAGGGTGACAAATCACCCTAATGGGAAACACCCGATGGGGGTTGGAACTAGAGGATCTTTAAGGTCCCTTCCAACCCAAACCATGCTGTGATCCTGCATTCCCGCCAACGGAAATAAGTTTGATGCAGAGCTCCAAGTGCTACCTCCAAGTTTCAACCATCAGGATCACTCTCTGCCAAGTGAGGGCCTACGTCAGTGGCCACGGTTCATGATTTTCAGCAAACTTAAGCATTCATTTCCCTGACAAAGCCGACTCGCCCAGCGCGCTGCCCATCAGCGGCTCCAGGGCAACCGTTTGCAATGGCCAACCGAAGAAACATAGCCCCAGATAACTTAGAGACACCTGAAGCCCATGCTTCTACCTCGCTTCATACCCCCCCACATTTAAAAAAAAAGGAAAAAAGTGGTTATTTAGGCCAGGTAAATCCCTGGATCTGGTTGATGAAGCAGCTGAAGAGACTGTTGTATCAGCACAACCAAAAGGCTGATGCAGGACAGGAAGGAGCAGTGGAAGTTTAAATCAATATTGCCACTAAAAATTCACTTGTAAAACTCAGCACCCTTTAGAAATCTGAGAAATCAAACACAAACCCCAAACAAAGTCCGTTTTGTGAGCGTAACCAGGTGTTCCAGTTGTACCGAAAGAGCATCGTTGCTACTTTCAAGGCAAACTGCAAATAAACGTCACGATTTCAGGGCAAACTGAGCACAGAAATCTAATGAGTGAACCACGCGACTGGGCCATGTTCTGTTTGAGAAAAGGCTTATTTTAAAAGCTTCAGCTAAGCTAGCTCATTTTTGCATGTTAATTATCCCCAAATCCTTTCAGCTAAGCTCATAAATGAGTGGCCTAAGAGGTCCTGAAACGCACCATCTGTCAGTTTTACTGCACAGTCCCTGTTGTCTCCAACCGCTGTCCATTACGGAAGATTCAGTACGATGAACCAACCTTAGCAGAGAGCAGCGAGTTCAGGACAGATGTACGTCCCTGTAGAACTTGCATTTTCCTCTTGCGTTGTCCATGAGAGACTTCGGGCTTCTATTAATGGCACATTAGTAAATGACACAAAAATCACTGAAAAACATGAAGCTTTGTTTAGAATAATGATTTTTCCACTCTGTCACAACCTTGGTTGACAACCATGCAAAAAGCAACGACACATGAATGGAATTATGTAGTCAAAGGACAGTTCAGCATCGTTCCCGGTGCCAGCTGTGTTACTGGCTTAAGAGTGGGAGAAATACCAGCTGAATACAGCCATTCTCAGCCCAAAATATCGGGACTCTTTTCAGAGCGCTATGCAATTGGAAAAACATACTCCTGGGAGACGTAACCATTGTGCCTGAGAGGAGCTGAATGTGTTGCGGAGCACAGGGAGAAGTGCCCAGTCCTACCTAAGCCAAGAGGCTGTTTTCTGGTGAGAAAACACAACTCAGCTGCACACTCAATGGGTATTTGGCAAGGCGTGTCCCTTCAGAAAGCTGCTAAAACAACAAGTCAGATTTAAGAATTGTAATTCCAAACCTGTCTTTGAACCCACACCCCTCTCCTCCATCTGGGTCTAACAGCTGGGGCACAGAGACCCGGGCTCAGCTGCCAGCCTGCAGGTCACCACCGCACCGCTCCTGCCCCTCCTGATTTTGGGATGCTCTGATCTGAACGGGCAAGGCTGAGACAGGTTTGGGTACAGAATCACAGAATGGTTTGGCTTGGAAGTGACATTAAAGATCACCAAGTTCCGACCCCTGTGCCATGGGCAGGGACACCCTCCCCTAGACCAGGTTGCTCCAAGCCTCATCCAGCCTGGCCTTGAAGACATCCAGGGATGGGGCATCCGCAGCTTTTCTGGGCAGCCTGTTCCAGTGCCTCACCACCCTCTCTGGGAAGAATTTTTTCCTAATATCCAACCTAAACCTCCCCACTTTCAATTTAAACCTGGTACCCCCTGTCCTATCACTACAGGCCCTTGTAAGAAGCGGTCCCCACTCAGCATTCTAGGTGGCCTATTTCCTTCTGATCCCTATTTAAGGCCCACATTCAGCACAAACCAACTTGCAGGGAGGATTTCCAAGGAGTGCAGAAAATGCTTAGGACCAGATCCCAGGTAAACCCAGGCTGCTGCTCTAACCACAACTTACCAAGGCTGTTTCCTCCTGTGCTTGAGCTTGGCCAACAAAAGCGTTTCTGCAGGAAGCTGTCAGTAGGGTAAAACACCGCGATGGCGTTAGATCAGCTCCTGGCCCCTCTTGCTCCTGCCCTCCGATCTTAATCTCAGCCTTTCTGACTACAGGGGATGCGCTTTCTGTGCGACACCATCACGGAGTGCTGGGACCACGACCCCGAGGCTCGCCTCACCGCCCACTGCGTGGCCGAGCGCTTCAACCTGATGGCCCAGATGGACTGTGACGACATCCTCAACAACAACACGGACAACGAGGCCAGCAAAACAGCTTCTCCAGGTGGGGAGCACCAGGACAGCGAAGGGGGCAGAAACACGCAGTGACTCTGCAGGCAAAAGGCCTCACCACGAGAAACGAGAGGATAAGCAAGAAGTACTTCGCCCATGGGGAAAAAGCCCTCACACCCGTTTTCAGAATGGAACTGAGATCTAGTACATAACTTATTTATACGATCTGTTTCCTCCCACAGATACAGTGAACTGTGGAATTGATACTTTGGTTAAAGTGCAACATTATCTATGAACTGGTTTTGTACTTACTTTAAATGTATAATGATGCAAAGCATTCCTTTTATTATTTTTTAAAATAATAATGTTTACTCTTTTATTAATAAGCACCTGAATTCCACGTCTCTCTCTTCAAGTCCTTCCATATCACCATCATGAATTCCTCCTCTGACCGCTTACGCTGCAGAGGTCGAGACCATTTTCCATTTCCCTGTTGTTAATGGCCTCCACACACACAAACCTCTCGTAGCAGCAGCAAAAGCATCTTGACAACGTAACGCCCTCGGTGGAAGAAACGCCGCCCCCCAGGAAAATTACTCGTTGATTAGACAGTCCTGAATGGAGCGTAATGACATCCAGCAATTCAGTTTGTGACAGCCCGATTTGCTGCCTCTCCAACACACCTTTTGTCCTGTGGGAATTCCTGGGTGTCCTTGAGAGTTCAGGTGGGTGCCTGAGGTGTCTTCAACAGACAAAGCAGCCACCAGCGCAGGCATCGCCGTTTCAGGCTGAGAAGTCTCCGTACAGGGTATCTAGACAACTCTTTCACCCAGTTCCCAGCCGCCTCTACCCAACAGATTTGTGCCACAGTAACAGGATCAACACAAACGTGTTGGGTAATTCCTCCTGCAACTCATTCACATCCCTCTGCTGTGCTACTCGTCCTGAAGAAACGTGATCAGACGGATCCGGCACCTTTGCTCCCGTAACCACCGGACTAAGCCAGGCGGTGGAAAGGGCATTATGGAAAGGTAAGTCATACCTCGCTCGGAATCCCGGCACCGTGCAAATCTTAAACCCTTGGGAGCAAAAGGTAACAAAACCCCGAGCTGCAACCCAGCAGCCCTACAAGCCCACACCGGACACGCACCTATGCAGAGGTGTATCTTCCGGGATCGCGTCGGAGAGCGCTTTGCTTGCCAGCACGCAGCTGCACGGATCAACCCCTACAAGAGAGGGGAAGGGGGAAAACCACACAACAGCCACAAGCTTTCCATGGCCAAGGCTCCCCAATGGGGAGGGGGGAAGCAGATCTGCTGGGCTGCTTTCGTTTACTAAAAAGCACAACTATGACGGCGCCTGCCCGTGACCAAAACCCTTTCTTCTCCCGCTATCGCTTCTGCCTCATCAGACCATTTCTGCAGCTCCTAAAAGAAAAGCCCATAGCAAAGTTGTCTCTAAACCCTTTGAAGAAGGATGGAAGGGGAATGAATTAGGTTGCATCAAATCTAAAGAATAAAAACTTAATTCAGTTATCTGGTAGCAGTCTCCTGCAACTGTGACCTTTCACTCTCAGCAATCATAGAATGGTTAGGGTTGGAAGGGACCTTAAAGACCATCTAGTTCCACCCCCCCTGCCATGGGCAGGGACACCTTCCCCTAGACCAGGTTGCTCAAAGCCTCCTCCAGCCTGGCCTTGAACACTTCCAGGGATGGGGCATCCACAGCTTCTCTGGGCAACCTGTGCCAGTGCCTCACTACCCTCTCCGGGAAGAACTTCTTCCTGATATCCAATCTAAACCTCCCCACTTTCAATTTAAACCCGTTACCCCTTGTCATGTCACTACAGGCCCTTGTAAAAAGTCCCCCCAGTGCCGCTACCTCCTGTCATCCTATGCTCTTTCACCCTAACCCTTCTCTTGAAGCACATCCTCACCCAGTTCACCACAAACACACCCTTTTCCACCCTCCTGACTTCAGTCTCGCTTCTTTATTAACCGCTGCTCTACTCCCTGTACGCCCGAGAGGAACAGAGAGCATGGGGCAGCTTTTCTGACGAGGAGATAAGAAACCACACAAACAACCCAAACTCCCCCCAGGCTGCCCAATCTTCCTTTCCCATAATATTCGGTGCAGAATTTCCCTTACTTTGCACCAAGGTGTTTGAATACAACACTCCTGAGTATATTCACTTGTTCTTCCAAGCTTTAAAAGACACTCCAACCTGTTCTTCTAAAATCTTGAACACTCCAATCTACATATTGCACTTTCCACAACACCTCCCAACAAAAACCAAGTCCGGAATCAGCTTTCAGGATCACACACCGGAATGCCTGCGGCAAACAGGAGCTCTGTTTTCCACCAGCCCAGAGTACACGGCACCTCTGGAGAGAGACACCTCGTTAAGCTCCGGCACAAATTTTGCTCTTAACTTCTGCGGAGCCCGGTCAGACCATAAAGACAGAAGGGAGCGTAAGCTGAAATCCTACATTTTTCCATGCTCCCTGTTGAACACACTGCGATTCCAGCGAGTATCTCTATAGGAAGCAGCAGCGAGCCCTTCCCTTCACTCCAGAAGGTACGAGGGGGAAGAGAATCAAATCTGGGGCAAAGTTAAAAACACATCCGTAGGGTGCTGGCAACTCCCCGAAGAAACACAGAATTGTCTTACAATTAACAGTGGATATTCAGTGGGTACGTTTATTTTATATTATTTAACTGTCCTTTGTTTCTAGAAGCACCTAGAAATTTGCATCCTGACTACACCCACATCAGGAAGCCATTCCAGTTCTTCTGATCATCCCAGCAAAGGAAGCTTTACCTTTTCAGCCCCACTCTAGCAGCACCCCCCCGTTAAAAGAAAACGTTTTACGTATTTTAAAGACTTCTTCAGCGTTGGGCCTATTTTGACCCAACAAAAATCAGTAACAGCTTTCTTTGCATGAAACCACAAGCATACCAGATGAGGGTGGAAGAGAAACAACTTGACCAATAATATTATATAAGGAACACAAATGGGTTTATGGTCAACACAGGAGCTGTTGGATCTGTTGCACAGCCGTTACCCTTGACAAATTCCCAAATCAAAATTTTAAGCACAGCTCGGTGACCGAGCCCTTGGTCTATATTTCAATAAGCAGAAGTTTGGCCCCTGGAGCCCGCTCAGCTGATAAAGGTTTGTTTTTCCGCTCTGATCACTGCAAGACAAAGAGCTGGACCTTGCACCTCAGCCCTCGCTGTTTGTTTAAAGCAAAGCTACAGTGTGATGCAGATAGAACAACTCTGAAACACGTACGGTGTTGTCTTGTTGTTGTCTGCCCCTCTGCCGCCCCACTTCGGTGCAGGCACAGACGATCCATGAAATCCATGCATTGCCACTGCAAATCCTACCCCAAGTCCTGGAACTGGCTCCAGGTCCCATCCCAAACATGCCGCAGATCCATAAACAAGGAGGAACTAATCCCACCATTTTCATTTTTATTTTTATTCCTGGTTAAACATGAAAATGCCCAATGGATATCCAAAATGAACACAACGGGATGGCTGTGTAGAGCATCACAAACAAGACAGCAGGCCCTAAAACGTTCTTCTGCTGGAGAACATCCTTACTACACAAGTGCACAGTGCCAAAACATCTCACGTTAAGGAAAGCCCAGACAGACAGATCTCCAGCACAAAAGATAACCACCACCTAGTTTTCCTGGTCACCTGATCCCTAGGAAAGCAGACAGAACAAAAGGATCTTTTTGTAGGTTTATTATCCCCACCCCCGCTTCTCACAAACGGACTATGACTCGCGTTGAGATCTCAGTGCATTTCACAGCAAAAAAAATGTACAAGAGGATCAAAACCTTTGTGCATAAACCCAACTTTTTTGGGGGGAAGTTTCGTACAATTTACCGTTTGCGCTGGAAGCTAAGATGGTTATTTTAAACCTTCTGATGCATTCTTACACTTGTATCTTCTCCGCGGAAAACATCTTGCCAGATCACAGAGTTGTGAGTTCTCATGATGCTGGATCAGGTGCAGCCATCGCCATGGCCGGGAAGTGGCAGATAATGTTATATACACTGATTGGAAGACTACATCAGAAGAAAAAACAGATTAAGGCACCACTGTTGGAAAAATTAAGGTAGCTTGTAGTTACAACATTAACGAAAGCCATAATAAGTACTATTCTTAATTGCCAGCAATTCTTAGACTTTAATAAAATAGTTATACAAAAAAAAAACCCCAAAGGATGTTTGTACCTGAATACAGTTTCCTGATATCTGATTGTGTTTCAAATCAATACCCAGTCCTCAGCATAATCAGCTTTTTTTTTTTTTTATGGTAGGATGAAAAACCAGGACCTACAGTCCACGTATTCACAGGTCACGTTTCACTGCTTTGTTCCGAGTAACACCACAGGACAAAAAACCAAAACAATCCAAAGGACAGTTTGTAACACTGCTATTTCACCTCTGAGATGATCTGATGGGCAGAGAAATTTAAATACAAAATTGTATGTTTTCTGTTCGTTTCGAAAGCCTCAGTCCTTGGGAAGGGAAGGTGGAGGAGGGGAAAAAAAAGGCCAAACCTCATTACAACAGGAGAAAAATCGAAGTCACTCAAAGAGATTTAATAAAATTAGGAGTTGAAAAGTGTTCAAATTACTTTTCCAATTCAAGTCAATTATTTCAAGTATATTAAAATGTTTCAGAGGAAAAATTTCTCCATGGTTACAATTCTAATTGCTTTTATAAATCCATAAAAAAAGAAAGTTAGTCTCTACATATATCCCTCCGATGCATGCACATGTTCTCTCTGAAGAAAAAAAGTCACCACGATCCAATTGTTTCTTAACACTGATTTCGGGTACATCTTCCAAACACCCCTCCAGTTTTTGCCAAAACAGTTAATCACTGGGCATAAAAGCAGCATTTTTGGTTGCTGTTGTCTACATGGTTACTGAGCAGGTTTCAGTTCCTAAAAAGCTTGACGCAGAACTGTGGAAAAAGTTCCCACGTCGCTCCAAAATCCAACAGTTCCTTCTCTTAGGCAGCTTCTGCAATCAGATCTACTTAGAAGAATCTTACACAATTCAGATAAAATCTCTTGGTTCATACAAAAACAAGTTGGTTGAGTGTACCTGGCAAGTTTGTCTCTACAGCTTTGATTCTTTTTTTAATAGCTTTAAAGTGCCCTAGCATATTTACTTCTTTATGCTCGTTTAAACTTTCACAATTACATAAAAAGGGGACACTCGGTGTGATTACTGTGTTTTGAGAGACAGAGGAAAAGGAGAGCAAAATCAGAAAACCCATCTTAAAGCAGCTTTCCTAGTTAGTGTCCGTTTGCTGAGTTTGCGCAGCAGACACTGTTTTCCAGAGGGGTTTATGATAAACCC